CTTTCTATAGGCTGTTCCCAGCACACTCCCATCAGGAGGTCTGTTTTGTTCCCCACTCCAGTTAGGTTTTATTTCATCTTAACAGGTAACTTGAATACCTGTCTGAGCACCTATCTCGGTACTGTGATAGAGTTCCGTACTACAGTGTGGAACACCTTTGATTGAAGACCTTTTTAGTTATGTTTTTTTCTTCAGCAACTGTCATGTTACAGGTGTTCAATTAATATCCATTATTTAGAAAACAATTAGCAGGATAGGAATATACTTGTCCTGAGCATATAAGACCATGTCTTATTAGTAGTTAAGTGTGATTAAATGTATGTTTATTAAAGTTAGAATTTAAGTATAGGAGTGATCTCCTCAGAGAAAACATTTAAATTAGAAAATACATATTTTTGTTCTTGGAGTAACCATTAGTGTCATATTCTTTAAACAAATATGACATTGTGAGGTACTGGGTGAGGGAATTTCTGGGTGAAGACAGGGTGAATGTTTCTTTTGAAGCATACTAACTGTGGAATACTACAGAAGCAGAAAGAAGAGAAATCATATATTCCACACCGGAACAGCTAAGTTATTTGTATAATTATTTCCCTCTGCACTCCACACATAAAAACTATTGTTCTTTTGGTACCAAATTGGGGAAGATGAAAAGTATGATGACACTCAAGTCTGGCCAGGGCATGAGATGAGGCCCCATGCCCTGCATAAAATTTATAGATTCTACAAGCTGGATAGCAAGTATAGTAGTGCATATAAAAAGTCCTTAAAATACCTTCTGTTCAACCATTCCACATCTTGGAATTGTGGAAACAAAGGTGCAGACAAAAATTAAGCTACAAGGAGATTCATTGAAGAATTGTACAAAATAGTAAAGTTGGAGACAATTTGAATATCCAGTTTGGGGTTCAGTTTAGCAAATATTCATGCAGTTAAATATTATGTAGCCATTAAGAATAATGTTGAAATACATTTGTTGGCAAACCTGGATGTTACAATACTAAGCTAAAACTAGCAATAGTATGTTCCTATTTTTGTTTTTAAAAACTACGTTCATCTTGACACACTGTGTGTGTGTGTGTGTATATGTGTGTGTGTGTAGAGGACAGGGTGTGTATGGAAAACCAAAATGATGGTATGTGAGTGAGGGAGTCAGAGAGATGTGCGCCCCTTTATTTGCCTGTCTGTTAGTATCAGATATAAGCCACTTTCCCTCAAGGTGTATCATAATTGTCCTAATAGAAGACTAATTTGAGCTCTTTCAAAAATTTCATCAGACAGGGTTACACTAGAACATGTATAGGAACAGTTGAAACATTTTAAAAAAAGCCAAATCTCTATCTCTGCTTTACAAAAAATGTCTTAACTTGAAGACCAAATAAGAAATTTAATTTTAAAAATCGTTTCTAATCCTGCTTGTAAGAATGGTGTGTTTATAAGTGCACAGCACTTACGCCTGACAAGCTGCAGGAGGAACTTTCTGACCTTTAAGACTTAACATATTTAGTGGCAGCTGGTTGCATATTTCAAATACTCCTTTAAGGCTAGAGCCTTTGTTTACTTGGAATAGGCTAATACATTTTTATCCAGTTTAAGAAATCTATTCCTTAAAAATGAGCTACAAGCCAGAATAAATAAAAAGCACACTGGCATACTACGTATGAAAAAAAAAAATTAGCTACAGTTTGGTCAGTGTGTAAAATTCCTGGAGGTGTCTGTTTATTGAGCAAGAGGAAATAAATGTTTCTTTTTTAATGAGCTGAGAAAGAAATGATAACTTAAAATTTTACTAATGTGTTTGGTTTTGTTTCCCAGAAGCTCTAAAAGTGAAGAGACCTTGGCAGGTAAATCTTAACATCAGCCTGTCATGGCCCCTCAACTCTGCCAGTCTCACCCGTAGTGGGCCCCACGCTTGGCCAGTCTTACATTTGAAGGGTTTCCTGCATCTGTCCAGTACACGACTTACAGTCATGTCTAACATTTACTGAGCTTGTACAGTTCCTGGCCCTGAGTTAAGAACTTTACACGGGTTATTACAACAACCCTTCAACATGGTGTGGATTATTATTCACACTTCATAGCTGAGTAAACTGAAGACAGAGAGTTGAAGTAACGGCACAGTCAGGATTCAGCCGCAGCTCTCTGCCTGAGCCCGGTCTTGACCCCTGTGCGTGCCCGCATCTCTCCCACGCTGACACGGTGGGGTGGCCTCCCAAGTCACTTGTCTGCTTCCAAGCTCTTCTGTCCCCAGTCTTTCATTCAGCTGCCTGTGTCATTTTCTGATTTTTCTGTTACAGAAATGGGATTATGATATCACTCGACTGAAAATTCTTCAGTGATACTCTACTACATATAGAGAAAACCCTGACCCCTCATTTATTTGGTTTTACTTACTTGCATTAAATGTATGAGCACCTCATAACCTTAAATGAAATAAGGCCGTAGGGAATGGACAGACAGAAAGACAAGACCTAGACAGTCACTTCCTGCTCTGCAGCCTCGCCTGCAAGCCCTCCGCTGCCCTTCTCACTGCTAAGGCTGGGTGGGCAGTGGGTTCCCTGTACACCTGTTGTCAGATGCTGCTCTGCCTTTTGACATGTCGCCCCTTGCTCTCCACAGAGCGCAGAGCGGGAAAGCACCTTCCCCTTTATCTTTCTATAGGCTGTTCCCAGCACACTCCCATCAGGAGGTCTGTTTTGTTCCCCACTCCAGTTAGGTTTTATTTCATCTTAACAGGTAACTTGAATACCTGTCTGAGCACCTATCTCGGTACTGTGATAGAGTTCCGTACTACAGTGTGGAACACCTTTGATTGAAGACCTTTTTAGTTATGTTTTTTTCTTCAGCAACTGTCATGTTACAGGTGTTCAATTAATATCCATTATTTAGAAAACAATTAGCAGGATAGGAATATACTTGTCCTGAGCATATAAGACCATGTCTTATTAGTAGTTAAGTGTGATTAAATGTATGTTTATTAAAGTTAGAATTTAAGTATAGGAGTGATCTCCTCAGAGAAAACATTTAAATTAGAAAATACATATTTTTGTTCTTGGAGTAACCATTAGTGTCATATTCTTTAAACAAATATGACATTGTGAGGTACTGGATGAGGGAATTTCTGGGTGAAGATAGGGTGAATGTTTCTTTTGAAGCATACTAACTGTGGTATACTACAGAAGCAGAAAGAAGAGAAATCATATATTCCACACCGGAACAGCTAAGTTATTTGTATAATTATTTCCCTCTGCACTCCACACATAAAAACTATTGTTCTTTTGGTACCAAATTGGGGAAGATGAAAAGAATGATGACACTCAAGTCTGGCCAGGGCATGAGATGAGGCCCCATGCCCTGCATAAAATTTATAGATTCTACAAGCTGGATAGCAAGTATAGTAGTGCATATAAAAAGTCCTTAAAATACCTTCTGTTCAACCATTCCCCATCTTGGAATTGTGGAAACAAAGGTGCAGACAAAAATTAAGCTACAAGGAGATTCATTGAAGAATTGTACAAAATAGTAAAGTTGGAGACAATTTGAATATCCAGTTTGGGGTTCAGTTTAGCAAATATTCATGCAGTTAAATATTATGTAGCCATTAAGAATAATGTTGAAATACATTTGTTGGCAAACCTGGATGTTACAATACTAAGCTAAAACTAGCAATAGTATGTTCCTATTTTTGTTTTTAAAAACTACGTTCATCTTGACACACTGTGTGTATGTGTGTGTGTGTAGAGGACAGGGTGTGTATGGAAAACCAAAATGATGGTATGTGAGTGAGGGAGTCAGAGAGATGTGCGCCCCTTTATTTGCCTGTCTGTTAGTATCAGATATATGCCACTTTCCCTCAAGGTGTATCATAATTGTCCTAATAGAAGACTAATTTGAGCTCTTTCAAAAATTTCATCAGACAGGGTTATACTAGAACATGTATAGGAACAGTTGAAACATTTAAAAAAAAGCCAAATCTCTATCTCTGCTTTACAAAAAATGTCTTAACTTGAAGACCAAATAAGAAATTTAATTTTAAAAATCGTTTCTAATCCTGCTTGTAAGAATGGTGTGTTTATAAGTGCACAGCACTTACGCCTGACAAGCTGCAGGAGGAACTTTCTGACCTTTAAGACTTAACATATTTAGTGGCAGCTGGTTGCATATTTCAAATACTCCTTTAAGGCTAGAGCCTTTGTTTACTTGGAATAGGCTAATACATTTTTATCCAGTTTAAGAAATCTATTCCTTAAAAATGAGCTACAAGCCAGAATAAATAAAAAGCACACTGGCATACTACGTATGAAAAAAAAAAATTAGCTACAGTTTGGTCAGTGTGTAAAATTCCTGGAGGTGTCTGTTTATTGAGCAAGAGGAAATAAATGGTTCTTTTTTAATGAGCTGAGAAAGAAATGATAACTTAAAATTTTACTAATGTGTTTGGTTTTGTTTCCCAGAAGCTCTAAAAGTGAAGAGACCTCGTTTTGATGTATCATTGGTTTATTTAACTCGAAAATTTATGGATCTTGTCAGATCTGCTCCTGGGGGTATTCTTGACTTGAACAAGGTCGCCACAAAACTGGGAGTGCGAAAACGAAGGGTATATGACATCACCAACGTCTTAGATGGAATTGATCTGGTTGAAAAAAAATCTAAGAACCATATTCGATGGATGTGAGTTGGTTTCAAGCTTTTCGTGACTTTTTTTTCCTCCCATTACATGGCGGTACCATCCTTAAAACAAACTGGATATTAGCAGTGTTTGGATAATATAAGACAAAGTAAGATGTGACTTCTTGTTAGAAAAGGATTCTATAAAGTTTTCTTAAAGAATTGAAATAATTCTATAATAATTGTCCCAGAAGGTACATAAATATTTTCTTTCTACTTAAGTCTAATTAAGCCAAAGACACAGAATATCATCCCTAAGTTGTGGAAAAGTTGAATGGAATAATGATTAGTTTTAAGATTTTCACTTTTCAAGATCATGTGAAGGGGGCATTTTGACTGTATAGGAGTTGCTTTTTTTTTTTTTTTAAGTATTTTCTCAGTTCCAGTTTATGATTGATACCAGGGGGAAATCAGGTAAGGTTGCCAAACGGTGGTTCTTGCACTGTAGTACAATAAACACTTAGAGGCCTCCCGCCTCAGGGGTTGTAATTCATTTGTTCTGGGGGAGGCAGGAGTCTACGTTCTTAACTTCCCCAGGTGATTAGGATTCAGGTAGACTCTGGATCACGCTTTGAAATACACTGCCTTGAATGTTAAAAAAAAAAAAAAGACAGTGTCTAAAAAGCAATTGCTGAACACTTAACACATGATTAAGAAGGATCCTGTGGAAGGAAGACCTTATGATACAGACACAGGTGTACATGTAGGGGTGTGTGGACATACGGATAAGAAAAAAATCGCTTATGCTTACAATAGGCAAGTATTTGGATCATTAAGAAACAGTCCCAGTATATAAGTACATAAAAACCTTACAGGTAAATGAAAAATCTACCAACAAAGATCATAAAATAACTCTAAACAATTAACTTAGCTATTAGAGGAAAGGAGTTCATAAAGCAAGTTGCTTTTTCAGTAGTATGAAAATGCAGATTGAAGTCTGATATTTGCTAAATAACATTAAGCAGCACTTCAGGTGTTAATATCAGATTGCATTCTGATCACTAACTGGAATCAGATTTGAAAACTAGCAAGCCAAAGTAAAGCGGCAACGGCCTTTTCCCTCTTTATTTTTCATAAAGGTTGAAGAAGAAGCATGATTATCAGTTGTTGCTCAGGTCATATGTTGGGGTAGACAGACAGTAATAACTAAAGAGACTCCATCTTTTAGGAATAATGAATATAATTACTGTATTCAGATGGAACCAGATAGAACGGGCACAGTCGGGAAAAACAGACTAGAATTTTAGCCAAGGAACTATCTATCTAGCTGACACTCCTTGTTTTCATATGTAAAAATTAAGAGACTAAGAGAGTATAACTAATTAAAAGTCATGCTGGAAGTAGTAGAGCTGGGACTGAAACTGGGTATTATTGAGTCTTAGTTCAGTGCTCAGTAAACTTGCTTAACCTTTCCTAATATTAAGTTCTGTAAGGTGATATATATATATTTTTAAGTCCTGTGTAAGGGACTAGAAGTGGGAACAGAAACCAGTTCGTGTGCAGGAAGAGTAGTGGTTGTGTGGAGTGAAAGGAGAACAGGAGAGAAGTTGAAGGGCCTAGTTTTTTGTCATTATGGGAAACAGTTGATGTAAACATTTGGAAACGTCCCGTAACCTAACTTGAGTTATTCTGTCACCTCCAAGATGTCATTGATTACGATCTTTTTCTTTGATACTTTTTCTTTAAAGAGGGTCTGATCTTGGCAGTTTCGGAGCACTGCCCCAGCAGAAGAAGCTGCAGGAGGAACTTTCTGACTTGTCAGCCATGGAAGATGCTCTGGATGACTTGATCAAGGACTGTGCTCAGCAGCTGTTTGAGTTAACAGATGACAAAGAAAATGAAAGATATCCTTTAACTCTACTTTTTTAAAAAAACTTCCCCTTCCAAAGCAGATAACTATGAACAGGAGGGTCAGCTTGGGGATTTAGTTAATATATTTAAGGTACAAAATTAGACTGTTAGAAATTACAGTGAGTAAAGGTTCAGTAGTATACATATAGCCTTGAACGACACGTCATTCCTGGAGCTTCTTCGTGTGGCATCTGTTCAGGTTAAATGCTGAGCGTGACACCAGGCACATGCCAAGGGTAACATTTGCATTTAAAATTAAAATAGTGGAGCATTCTTGTTTGTTTTTGTAGTCTGAATACGGGAAAGATAGTAAAATATTTGTTGGCTTTTGTTAAATTCATGTTTGCCCTGGTTTGTTAACCGAAGTTTTTTTCTGAGGCAGAATGAATTGCCACTGAAACAGTACTGACCCTGCCATTCCAGTCACCAAGCCGAGTGCAGCCGAACGTCACTGCTGCTCTCGGCTCAGTGTCTCTGGACCGGAGCAGAAGCCTGGTCTTGCCTTCGTGTGTGTCTCCTAGGCTGCTCTGCTGCCCTCTTCCCCTGGTGGCACCTCTAGGAGGTGTCACTGATTCTGAGCCGTCCCATGCTTTAAATTAAACTCCACATCAGTCGGAACTCCTGTTTCCACAATACAGTTATTAGAAGGGAAAAAAATTCTGTTATTGCACCCAATCAAAAGGTCTGTGGGGTAAAAAAAAAAAACGCTGAAGAAACCCAGTAAATCGTGTACTTAGTAAAATTTCAGGCAACACAGTGAAACAATATGAAGAAGATTCAGGTAGGGAAGTGGAAGATCATTTGGGGGGAGGGCAACCCCAGGAGTACATGGTAGTCCTAAAAACTTACTCTCTGAGTTGTTTGCAGTTTTTACAGATATTTTCCACTTGGCATTTTAGGAGATTCTCATTAAAACTCTGAATATTTTTTCCCAAAGGTTCTCATGGTAAGATCTAGCAATGAATGGAGGTTTAAACACCTTCATGAGTTGTGTTTGTGTTAGGGATTCAGACTTTATTAGTATTTTCTCCAGAAATTGCCATTGTGATTACAAAAGTACAGATTAGAGTAGTTCTTTGAGTTATAAATATTTTTTTAAAAAACACTTTATAAAATTTAAGAATTGTTTATAAAATATTCTATATGAAATAGTTTTTTTACTGATTGCTTTCCTTAATTGTGAGTTTGTATCCCATAAAAACTAAAGCTATTCTAACATTACACGTGGAGTCATGTAATATAAGAGCCAAATTATCTCAGTAGCATTCTGCTTAGAGATCCTTGACTGATTTTTACACTAGCATATGTGACGTATCAAGATATTCACAGCATTCAAGCCTTCCATGAACAGATTGTTATTGCAGTTAAAGCTCCAGCAGAAACCAGATTGGATGTTCCAGCTCCCAGAGAAGTAGGTGGCCCTACATTTTTAAGATGTTTTAAAGAGGGAGGCGGGCCAACTGCTTAGGCTATTACTTATTACAGTTCCAGTAATTTAATAATGATTATGTGCATATTAGCTGCATGCCTGAAAATGCTCACAGCCTTTTGAAACATATTTTAATTTGTTCTGAGTAGCACAGCAAATGAGGTAGTCATGATTACTGTCCTCTTAAAGGCGAGGACTCTGAAGCATAGAAAGATTAATTTACTTTCTTGAAATTACACAGTAAGTGACAGACCCAGAATTCAAACCCAGGTAGTTTGGCTTTAGAGTTTGTTCTTAACCATTGTCTTACAATGCTTCTTAGGGGAACCACCAAAAATTGGCCTCCCTAGGGAATTAACTCACCAACACACTCATAAACTAATGAGTAAATGAGAACACTAAGTTTCATTTAAACTGAAAAGTAAATTGCTGTGTAAATGAAAATATTCCTAATAGCTTCCAGCTGCTTAGCACACTCTGTTGCAGGAAAGTTTGTATTAAAAGGTAATTGTCATCAGAAGGTTGCTTGGCAAGGATGGAATCAGAACCAAGGAATGTGGCCATTCTGGGGACAGAGCATCAGTTTCTGACTGCTTGGTAGACCCGTCAGTGTTCCTAGCGATGTCTGCTGCATGCTGTAGGGACTCACCTCCCCCTAGTGAAGAGTTTTCTCGCCGCCCATCTTTCTTTTACCCCCAGAGACCACTGTCCGAGTGGAGCATGCTGTTACTTGACAGTGTGTTGTGAGCAGGTGAAGGGGCTCCTCTCACTCCAGCCCCAGTCACATTGTGACTTCCTGCTGATGGCTGATGTTTCCTAGTTGTTTCACTTGGATTTAGATATGTTCTAAGTCTCCTAGGTAACAGTCCTATTTAACGTGAGTCATTTAACAAATGTTTAAACTTTTTTAAAAAAAACAATTAACCACTAATCTTTCAGCACATCCTTCTTTGGGCCATGGTAGTCTTTTCTGCAGTGACTCACGGCTCTTTCCCTTTATGCTCTGAGCTGCTTCAGACTGTAATTGCCAAATCCCACTGAGCCTTTGGGTCATGACCAGCCCTTCCCTTAGGGTCCCATTTAAAAGCTGATGCCCATGGGCCCTCTTGGCAGCCATTCTCAGCAAGGGGGAGAGTAGGTGGGAGCAGCAGACAAAGGACACTCCATTCAGTGGAGTCCAGCCCCCCCAAAGATCGGGAGATCTAGTGCCGGGGTGCATGGGTGGGCTTCTGGGTCAGATCCAGCCTGGTCTCTTTGAATAACTTTATTGAGACACAGCCGTGGCCACCCGTTTAGTGTGTGGCTCCTTTCGCTCTGGAACGGCAGAACTGTGCAGTTGTGGGGATGCTGTGCCCTGTAAAGCCTAAAGTAGTATCTCACCCTTTACGGAAAATGCTTGCCCACCTCTGATTTGCTGGACTGTGATGTCCTCAGCTGGCTGGCAGTTCTGAGCCACAAATTGGTGTCTTTCATTGTTAGAACTGTGTTGAGTTGTACAAGGTATGCCGCTCACACCACACCACACGTGACCTGGCAGTCCGGAAGCCGAGTGGAAATGTTCTCCAGCCTCGCTGCCGGAGCCAGGAAGCTGTAGGAGGGATGGGCTGGGAGGCTCTGAGGCCCTCCGACAGGCTGTGTCTCGCTGACCTCCGTTCCGGAGCAGTGAGGCGCGGAGCAGGAGGGAGCCCAGGACCCCGCGGGAGGCGAGCAGGGGGCCTTCATGTCCCTGGGAGCTGAGCCCCGCCCCCAGTCATAACAGGAACATTCCTGCTGGCACCGTTCCTTCAGAGGTTAGCAGAATTCGCAGTAGGAGCACCTAATTACCTGATACCTTACAGAGCAAGTATTTTAATTAATCTTGAGTGAATTTAAAAATCCAAAGCATGTGAATAATTATAACTACTTCATAGTAGTCCTTTATGGGCAATTATTTCTTTTAGTGTTTTAAATCACATGAGGTATGTTTTGTCTTGATCTCATCCTCTTACCTCTCCCGAGTGGGAGGGAGAGTGGTCCTGTCAGGTCAGCTCAGTGTCTCCTGTGGTCTGGACGTCTAAACACAGAATCCAGAACACGCTCGAGACGACAGGGTATTTTTAGATTCCTTTGTTGTCAAAACACTGATTTTTTTATGCTCAAGTACAGACTCCTTGAGGGGGTCAACTCCCTCAGTAGAGGAACGTGGACGCCTGAGTACTGAGGGGTTCACGTGGCCCAGAAACTATGCCCGCAGGAACAAGCAGCCTTGGTACCTGTGTGACCTGGCCAGGGGTTCACTGGGGCGAAAGCCAAGCACATCATTCTCTCAAGTATGTGGTGAAAGAAAACGACCTGAATTAAAATTTTCAGAAACGTCCCTTGAAACTTTTGCAGTCCTTGTGAGTGGGGAAGTAGAGTCAGTGCCTTCTGTCCTTCATCGTGGCGTTGTGTGTGCCTTCCACTAGGACTCCATCACGGTGCACATAAGGAGCACCGGGGGCCCCATTGATGTGTACCTGTGTGAGGTGGAGCAGGGCCACTCGAGCAGCGGAGCGGCTGGAGGTCTGGGGACCTCTTCATCTAAGAGCAGACAGCCGGAACACCCTGAGAAAGGTAAACGTACCAGTTTTGTGATTAGGACTGTGATTTTAAATATGTGTGTGTGTGTGTGTGTGTGTGTGTGTGTGTGTGTGTGTGTAGTGTTATAAGTGCAGATTAGAGTTATTTTTACTCTTCCTAGCCACAAAGATATGAGTTAAACAATTACAAGGTATTTCTGACTATAGTTTACACTATTTCTGACAAGTTCATAGTCAGATTCCATGGTGTTTTGGTGTCAGTGAAAACGCAGAGCTGCAGTTGGCCCATGGGGACCAGCTGGCGTGCTGTCTGTAAGTACAGCCGTCCTCATCTCTGACAGGTGCTTCAGAGGCTTAGTTCCCCTTCATTCTTGGGAGACTTCAAACATTGACCTTCTGCCATTAACATAAGAATGTAGTTCTTGACCAGGGATCTTCCTTTTTTTTTTAAAGCACTCGAATTGTATGTTCTGTTACCTATCTGCCTTTTAAACCCTCACTTAGGAGAATTTCTTTCATTTTGGTTATTTTTCAGAAGAAAATCCTCCACAGAAAAGTGAAGAATTGCTTGAAATGAACAACTGATAGCATTTGAGAATTCGTGTGTGGAGTTTTTTGGGATGAATTATGCATCACATTTGATTCTCAGAGCAATAAGTCATCCACGAAGTTCTCTCGTCTCAGTCAGTAGCATTAAGGCCAGTAGTGTCCTTGGGTAGTTCACTACTTAGATACTGAATAATCATGGTTTCCGTATTTGCAAACAACTCTTTTTATAATTATTCGCTGCTTTTATCAGTGAAATAGAGATCTTGCCTATTGAAATCACTTCCTCACAAAGAGAATCACTAAAACAGATGGTCACGCCTAAAATGGACAGTTCTTCGTGGACTCTGCCCTTCCCTTCAAGGATCATGTGTCGTTATCACAAAGGAAATTGCCTTACACGGGTTCATGTCTGCAATTACTTGTATGTACACTGGATGGATGTACACATGCATCTAAATGTGGTGATGTATATATATCTGTATAATGTTTAGATTACTTATGAAATATGTGTAAGTGAAGCTTTTCACCCCTGTACAGCCAAAATAATGTATATATGGAAAGTAACAGACAAATTCTCTAATTTCTGTGGTATCTATAACTTATTAGAATCCTCTGAATGAGGGTTAGAGAAGTTTTTTCCAAACTTCTATATGTAGAAGTATCATGAATAATCTACACATATCAAGTTCATGGAATTAATTAAAGTATTTCAATATTGCTCCCAGTGCTAAAATTGAAATCTGATTCTTCTTGAGTTGCTGTGTCTGAGCAGCCTGGTGGGATGCACTCAGGCTTTAGGGGCAAGTGTAGAAATGCCATCAGGTAATGTCTTAATTCATTGCAAGACATGAATTCAATCATGATGAAAATTAGAAACTGTTTTAAGCTTTTTGCAAGCAGATTTTACAATGTTTCTGTGCGCGGCCTTGCTCTTCCATCAGAGGAGTTCACTTACTTAACAATGAGTTAGTTGTATGCTGCCCTCTCTTCCAGCTCTAGTCCCACGTTTCCAAGTACCTGGCTATTACTACCTCACTGGGTAAGTCATTTACCACTCTGTGCCTCAGTTTACTCAGTAGTTTACCATTAGACTGTGAGCTCCTTGAGGGACTTTGTCTTAATCATTGTTAAACCCAGAGCCTTGTACTATGCCTGGAACATAAAAAGTGCTCAATAAATGTTTGAATAAATCACTGAGTGAGTGAGTGAATTGTAAAATCAGACAGTAGTGCTTACGTGCAGGATTCTCGTATCATTCAGATTCATATGTTAATCCTCTCTTGCTTTCAAAGATTTGAAGCGACTTGAAATTAAGACCCTGTGTAAAAGGATTTATAATAAAGAGTCAAAAATCAAAATACTGATGTGTAGGATTCACATACCTTTGAGCTCTGGGGCTTTTGCCGATCCTGTCCTCTGCTGAACTCCAGCCTCCTCCCTCCAGGCCGCCGCCCTGCCTTCCTGATGTCAGCCTAGGACTGCTAATAGCGCCCCGTGTTTGGACATGCTCAGGAACGTGCGGTTTTAGGCAGGAGTGGAGGGTATACGGGTCAGGTGCTCAGCGGAAGGATCTGAGCTCTGCGGAAGAGGTTCCACAGGTGTCGGTTTGTATGCTAAAGCCATGAGAGGGTGGAGCAGAAGAGGAGAGGCCCGGGAACATCTGTATCTAAGGGGATAAACATGAGCAGCCTTTCCTAAGAAGGAATAATAAAGCAGGGTGGGGTGGGGCGACCGAAGAGGGTAGTGCCCCCCAGAACTAGCAGGAAGCTTTGCCAAGGGTGACAGCGTTGTTCTGAGCAGCAGTGCCTTCCTTGTAAAATGCGACAAATGTTCCACTTTACAAACTGTTCTGAGGGTAAAATGAGATCGTGTAATCAGAAGTCCTTTGTACGCTGTAGACGTGTTACATAAATGAACGCTCTCGCCCACCACTCCATCTCCCAGCGTTTGGCCTCTTCTTTTCTGACCCTTAAGGACGTGTCCCTGGGATGGGCTCCCGGGCCGTCCCTGCCGCCCCCATGCTGAGCAGGCCACCGCGGTCTCTGCGTGTACACTGCTGCTGCCAGGCACGGCACTGAGCCCCGGTCACAGCCCTGAGCGGTCCCGTTTCCTTCAGGCCGAGGTGCAAACTCGATCCAGAAGCCTCCAGGCCTGCCCCAGCCTAGCTTTGCGGTCCTGTTACTTGCCTTGTGAGCCCGCAGCCCAGACCAAACCGGTCTAGTTGCCGGGCCTGATGCACGCATTGCACTCTCCCGCCTCTGTGCCTTCGCTCTTACCCTCCTGCCCACAAAGGTCATCCTTTCTGTTTTCAAAAAAAACGGCGCCCCCTTTCTGCACGGAGCTCACACCCTTCCTTGGACCGGCCTTCGTGCCTCAGTCGATACGGAGCATTTGGTAGCCATCCTTTTAGATTGCTGCCAGGTTTTCCCAACCAGTTTACCTGCTCTCAGGCTGTAAGGACCGTATCTACTGTGTGTTTGTGTTTCCCACGTTTACGTAGTGTTGAAAAAGCTTCTGCTGGTTGCCAAGTGACCTGACTTCATTCAACCCAACTCTCAAAAATTTTTAAACAAAAACCTCTGACTTTTCAAAAACACAAAGCAACAAACAATTTTCCCTGAAAGAAAAAAATTCCAATTCTGTACCAATTTTGCATTTTGTTAAAAGTGACAGCTCATCTGCCTAATTGTAACCCGCCACCCCCCCCCACCTTGGAAGGTGAGCACCTTTTTGCTGTGAGCGCACTGTCGTCAGGAGAGAGGCTTTACTCCTGAGACGCCATGGCTGCTTTTGTTCCTCCCCCTTGGCCTGTTTGTACCCTGGGCTTGCATAGGGTGGGTGTTGGCTGGATGCCAACAGCTACGCGAGAGAACCGTGCTGCAGCTGGCGGCCTGGCCTGAGGGACTTGAGCCAGAACTGCGTGTCTCTGCAGGACAGGAGCGATAAGGGAGCCGTGTCCCCGAGCCCCGGGAACCTGCCCTGTGATTATGCACCAAGATTAAAGGTGAGAATAGGATAAAGCCACCAAGGTCATTGAAAGCAAGTCATCCCAGTACGGTGGTGTGCGTTGGCTCTTGAATTCTGCCCGTGGTTAGCTTGCCGCGCCCGTGGCCGCCAGGTGTCAGTGTCGCAGTGAAGGCAGGGCCCGCCGCCTGGGCACCTGCCCTGACAGTGGCTCTGCCCACTGGGGACGCGCTGGCAGCTTGTGTGCCTGAGGCCTCATTGTCACTGCCATCAGGGAAGGGGCAGTGTTGGGTCTCTCAGCCTGGCCAGAAGCCAGGAAGTGGGAGTTCACAGGAAGAGGTCCCCAAGAGGAGGTGGAGAAAGGGAAAAATGGAGGAAGGGAAGAAAACTTCCCAGAACCACACCAGTGTGGGGCACCACTCCGGCTCTGCCACCCTCAAACACCACCTCTTCAGAAGCAAAGGACTAGCTTCTCTCATGAGTTTCGAAAGAAACTGGGCAATAAAGGCTCAGTCCCCTTGGGTTCCCTCCCTTTGGGACCCATTTTCCTGCCTGCAGAAATACCCCCAAGGGGAGCCCTGCAGCTCAGTTGAATGAAGCCAGTGGTCCTCTTCTGGGGGCCGTGCCCATTGGGGGACCTTGGCAAGACCTGGGCACATCTCGGGTTGCCATGGCTGGAAAGTGCAGCTGGCATCTCTGTGGTGTGGGCCCAGGGTGCTGTTACCCATAATGCCCAGGCAGCCCAACCTGACAGAATCAGCCGTTCCAAATGTCAGCAGGCCGAGGTGGGGAACCCCGAGTTACTGCAGTAACAGGCAGGTCAGCTGTCCGGCTCAGAGGGGATGTGTTAACGTGTCCCTTTGCCCACCAATCTGAAGCCGTGTCTCCAATCAGATTCATTAATGATGGTAAAGATAGATTGTCTCTCAGACTTCAGTGCCTGTCAGTTAATTCTGACCACAGAAGGGAAGAAGGATGTAACTTACTGGGTAAAGAGCCCATAGCAGGCTTTGCACTGAGGCACCACCGTAGCGAGGACTAAATTCATCTGCAAGTAACAGAAACCTCCACCCCCCACCCAGAACACTGGAGGCTTTACAAACGTCTGACACAGGAGGCCTGCAGGTAGTCCTGAGTTGGTCTGGCTCAGCAAAGGGTCAGGGCCCAAGGCTCCTCCCAGGTAGGTCCCCCGTGCTTGGCTTCCAGTCCCAAGGTCACTTCAGACCCCAGGACAGCTGCTAGAGCCCCAGCCCTGACGTCTACATACCAGCCTACAGCAGGATGAAGAAGGGGAGGGTACTCCCTTTTCCTTAAGGACACTTCCTACAAGTGGTGCTTCTGGCTTCAATGTACAGACACTGGCCACAAAGTAACCACTTAGATTTAGAAATGCAATGGTTCTTGCAGGAGGGGCGCCCTGTGCCCAGCTTACAGCCTGGAGTTCTGTACTGTGAGATGGGAAGAACGGTAGGGTGGGGGTTACAAGTGGTTACCTAGATCCGATCCTCCTCCCCAGCACAGGAATACTACCTTCTAGGGAGACCATGGGACGACTCCTAGCCAGCTGGCTATGAGGCAAAGTGACCTGTAGCAAAGAAACCACATAAAATTCTCTAGTAGCCTTTACCTGCCGCAGCAACTGGGAAAGCCACAGGTTCCGGATGATGCAGCTATAAGATCCTGGAGCTGCATCAGCCTGGATCCCCAAACGACTGCATGGAATAGAGCTCAGCCAGTCTGCATGCAACATGAAATGTGTCAAATCGTTGGGATCTATTAGAAGTTAACCTGTTATGCAACAGAGCCACATTTATGCTAACTAGTCTGTCTGGGGACAACTAGCAGTCTCTGCCACAGGTCGATGCGTGGAAGAACAATGCTGTTAAAAAGGCCTCACAACAAACCAGTCTCATATGCTTTCTATGCACTCCCAGCCCTTGTCCATTGCTTATGATCAACAAAACTGATTGAATCCATTTGCTCGCCACTAGTGTAATGGGAGTCTAACCCAGGTTTGTGTAATGATTGCCATCTAGTGGAGAGTTACGTTATTCATATTCACTTGCTTTCAACTGAGCAGATGTTGCTAAAGAATAGCATTGATAGCGAGGATGTGGAAAAAGGGGAACCTTCCTACACTGCTGGTGGGAATGTAAGCTAGTTCAACCATTGTGGAAAGCAATATGGAGGTTCCTCAAAACACTAAAAATAAAAATACCATTTGACCTGGGGAATCCCACTCCTTGGAATTTACCCAAAGAATACAAGTTCTCAGATTCAAAAAGACATATGCACCCCTATGTGTATCGCAGCACTATTTACAATAGCCAAGATAAGGAAGCAGCCTAAGTGTCCATCAGTAGATGAATGGATAAAGAAGATGTGGTACATATACACAATGGAATACTATTCAGCCATAAGAAAGAAACAAATCCTACCATTTGCAACAAAATGGATGGAACTGGAGAATATTATGCTCAGTGAAATAAGTCAGGTGGAGAAAGACAAGTGCCAAATGATTTCCCTCATTTGTGGTGTATAACAATGAAGCAAAACTGAAGGAACAAAACAGCAGCAGACTCAGAGACTCCAAGAAAGAACTAGTGGTTACCAAAGGGGAGGGAGTGTGGGGGGTCGGGAGGGAGGGAGATGGGGATTGAGGGGTATTGTTTAGTACACATGGTGTGGGGGGTCACGGGGAAAACACTGTAGCACAGAGAAGGCAAATAGTGGATCTGTGGCATCTTACTACACTGATGAACAGTGACTGCAATGGGATATGGGTGGGGACTTGATAATATGGGTAAATGTAGTAGCCACATTGTTTTTTCATGTGAAACCTCCATAAGAGTGTGTATCAGTAATACCTTAATAAAAATTAAAAAAAAAAAGAATAGCGTTGACTTTACAAAGAAATTTTCAGGTCACATTCTTGTCAATTAAATGAATTAATACTAATGTTTACAAATCAAAATTTAAATAGATAATTCATGAAGAAAAGCTGCAGCTGTTGAGAAATTAACATAATATCCTGGCTATGTCAGTGTTTCTGCTCTTGCTAGAATCCAGCCTGCAGAGATCTCAGTTGCCTTGACGCCCCTCACAACACGTTGGTCCATTACATTGGACCTGTTGAGCAGGAAACAGCAGATACCTCAGATGTTTTATTAGTACATATGTATGCCAGAGGTGGTAGGCAAACACACTCAGTACCAAGTATTTTATCAGTCAGGGTCCAGTAAGAAAACCATGGTAGGTATTACAACAGAGGTGAGTTAATACCAGAAGGCTGAAGTAGCAAAAAGGGGATGTTGGGATAACAGACATCAGTAATTCAGGAAGTAGCTACCACCCTGAGGCTAAAGCAGGAGCTCAGAGGAGAGGCCCCCACATC